TATATATATAGTTTAGATATTATATTTGTGTGTGTGACTTTGTGTGGGTGTGTGTGTGTGTGTAGTTGTGTGTTGTGATGTGTGTGTGTTTGTGTGTGTGTGTGTGGTGTTTATGTATGGTATGTACTGTATGTTGTATGCTATGATATTATATATATAAATATATATATATATAGATTAATATATATATAGTGTATGTATATATATTATATTATAGTATATATTCATATTTTTTATATACATATATGTTAAATAGTTATATATATATGTATTTATATTATTAATTATAATATATATATTATGTATATATTGGGCTATATATAATAGACGTAAATAATTAACATAATCAGAATACACTACACACACATTAGTTTCTATTAGGTATACGCTATAATATTATATATAATAATTATGTATGTATGTATGTATGTATGTATGTATGTAATTATGTATTGTATGGTATGTGTATATAATTATTATGTATGATTAATATAATATATATATATATATAATAATATCATATATGTGTGTGGTGTATTTGTGTGTGTGTGTGTGTGTGTGGGTGTGTAAATGTTCGATATTAAGTTATATACTTATATATATATATAGATATATAAGAGTATAATATATGATGATATATATATATATATCTATTATACAACGCATATACATTTATTATGATACATAATATGTTCATATATGAATGGTATATATATTATATACTACTTATACTATAGTTCTATATATATATATGGGATATAATATATACTATTACTATAGATAGTATATATTGATATAATACTACTAATATATTTATATAGTATATATTAATTTGTGTGTGTGTGTGGACTGTGCTGTACTAAAAGAGTGTGTTAGTGTGGTTGTGTGGTGTGCGTGCTCAGGCACCCCGCCCCTCTTTTAAAAACGACGTCACTGCATTGAGGAGTAAGCAGACTTATTACGAAAAAGAAAGAAGAACAAAAATTCAGCGCAGAGAAAGTATAACCGTGGACTTACGCCAAGGTCGTCAACTGAATTTTGATATCTATGAACCTCTCAAGACTTGTTTCTCAGGGAAGAACTCGGTTTTCTGTAGATTCATATTGTCTTTGACGATGCCTTTGATAACAGCTGATTTAGATGCAGGTCGTTATCCCACATTGTCAATGCAATATAAACAAACCCTTTTTTACAGGTTGATCTAATGCATTTACACCTTTTAAAATTGTATATGAATAACAAGGCCACAGGACAATATACCTGTATTTGTGTATGCTACAAAAAAGTTTTACATTCACTGTTTTCTGTTAGTGACTGGCATGTCTAGAGCTGTTTTTCCACTGGTTTTCATCTAGACATATATTCGAAATATAACAAGATAATGGTATATTGTATTATTCTGAATAACACGAAGATATCATCGCCATCACTCTTCTTCTACTTACTTCTCCTTCATCATCTGTTTCTTCTTCTTCTTGTTCTACTTCTGCTTCTTCTTCTTCTCTTCCATCTCCTCCAGTTTCTGTCTCTGCTTCATCTCCTTTATCTTATTGTTTTTTTTTCTGTTTATTCTATTTTTTCTTCTTTTCTCCTCATCGTCTACTTATTCTAATCCTTCTCCTTATTCTTATTCTTATCCTTATTCTTATTCTGTTTCTTCATCATCATCCTTTATTGTTTTCTTATTATTTGTTTTCCTTTTTTTCTTTTTTTATCCTTTGTTCTCTGAGTTGGTAAGGTAAGAGGAACATTATGAAACAAGACGAAACTCCCTTCACGAAAACCAGGATACGCTCTATCCACCTTTGTGAATCACTACAGACCCGTGGCTTCGCATCGAATTCTGTAATAACCGACGCTATTGGGGGTGATGCTGCGGATATGTCGTAAGAGAAGAAGCGTTTTCATCTTCCGACACCTGAGGGGAAGGAAGTGACTTCTTAAGGGCAAGAATTTAAGAACACGTAGCGATGGAGAGAGATGGGTACAAGATGGGTCTGAATTCATGTGTTTTGGGGGTTATTTACTTCCCCCACCCCCACCCCCCAAGTTTTCGTGTCTGTGCTATTCTCTAGTCTAAGTAGGTAGATAAGAAGATGAATTGAATAATGAGAGGGAGTAAATCTATGAAAAACAAACACTTTAGCAATAGTAAACACTTTAAGAAATATATGTATGTATGTATATTTTTTTTCTGGAGTAACGACATAGCGTCCTTTGCACGTACCACTCCCTTGGCCCTGTCACTTATTGCATAATGGCAACTTCTCTGAACTCTAGCGTGCCAAGTGCCAGAATGACCCCGTCAGTTCCGTGAGAGATAAAGATCGTTTGGAGACACTTGAAAATGAGTTATGTTGGTAATTTCTTGAAATACTTACTTCGCATCCTCATTCCACTATGCTTTTTGGATTTTTTCATTAGATTTTTTTTCATTTTTTTATTACTTTTTAAAGAATATTTCGTCATTTTACTCAATTTAAGAAGGATTTTTTTTCAT